ACCCCCAGGTGCACCCAGCCCCCAGTACCCCCAGGTGCACACCCAGCCCCCGGTCCATACAAAGCCCTTCAGCCCTACCCTCCTGGTCCTCCTCACTCTCAATGCCAGTTCCCTTCTTGTCCCCGCACCCACATGTACCATCTGTTTCTGTACCAAAAGCACAAGGGCTGGCCAACCAGTCTGCTCCTGAAGTTTGCAGGCTGAGATGACTCAGGCTCGAGGGCAGAGGCTGCTGCAGTGTGTGGGCCGGGGTCCCTCGGGTGCTGCTGCCTCTACTGCACTTCCCCTCACTCCTGGCTCAGGCCCCGTGGGAGTGACAGGTCAGGCCCAGGGCCTCTTGGCTCAGAGCTGGGGCCACAGTCGCCGACTCTCCCATCGCACCCCTGGGCACTGGTTGGTCATGTTGCCACCAGCCAGTCATGGGCCAGAGGGAGAGGAGCGGCAGACGGATGGCGGTCTGGGCTCTCGGGCTCGTGGAGTGGGAAGCAAGGCCTGAGAGGCCCCGCAGCCTCGCCACGGGCCGCACAGCCGCCTGGCCTGTGTCCTGCAGGAGAAAATGCACAAGCTCCTGGAAGTGTACGAGCAGCTGGGCGGGGAGGAGGCTGTGGTCAATCCGGCCAACGAGCTGATCAAGGAGGGCCACATCCAGAAGCTGTCGGCCAAGACGGGCGCCGCCCAGGACCGCCACCTCTTCCTGGTGAGCCCTGCCCCCCTCCCCGTCCCGCCCCCCCCCCCCGCTCCCCAACCCTGCCCCTGCCCAGCCTTCTCTGAGGGCCCCTGGCAGCAGCCTGCCCCTCACCCTGCTGTCCCTGTGGAAGTTCAACAGCATGGTCCTCTACTGCGTGCCCAAACCGCGGCTCCTGGGCCAGAAGTTCAGTGTCCGGGAAAAGATGGACATTTCCGACCTCCAGGTGGGTGAGCCCCTGCCTCCCCCTCCCTGGGAGGCACAGAGCAGGCTTGGGGACACGGCTCTGGTTCCCGCTGTGCAGCCAGCACTGGCCCACTTCTGCAGCCTCTGCTCTGTCCGTGACCCAGGCACAGCAGGGCTGCCGCCGAGCTGCCCGGGCCTGGCGTCCTGGGCCCGTGGGCAGGATCCCGTCCCTCTGCTTGGCCCACCTGCCAGGGTAGGTCCTGTGGGGCTCACACTCACAGCTGAAGGAGGGCCCAGGACCTGGGCTGGCCCCTGGCCCCTGTGCGGTCAGTGCTCAGGGCCCCCTGACAGCACCACAGGCGAAGTCGAGGTGGGTGCCTGACCCGTCCATGCTCCCGTCTCCTGCCCCACCTCCGGGCCCCGTGAGGCTCCAGGGCCTGTGCCTGAGCTGGGGCGGCAGCGCAAGGCTGTGGATCGATAGGAGCTCAAACATAATGGCCAAATCCAAGTATTTGATCCATTCTAGAAAGGGAATTTTTGCCCTAGTGATACAAAAAAATTCTTCTTACTTTGAAATTCTCTGAATCCAGGTTTAAGAAATACCATTCAAAGTAATGACTAACTAATGACCATAGTTAGAAGAAACTAGTTTTCTAGTGTTTCCCTGTAAAAAAAGAAAAGAAAGAAAAAGAAAATCAGTGTGTGCGATCCACTGGGTGTGTTAGAGCAGCCGTCCTCCGCCTGGGGCTGCTTCGGGAGGCCCCTGTGCGGCCCCTGAGCAGCCCGGCCCTGCCCCGAGCGCGGGC